AAAGGTTGAGGGCTGATCCTCTTTTTCCCAAAAGTTGAGGGACTGATCTCTTGTTCAAGGTTGAGGGACTGATCCTCTTGTTCCAAGGTTGAGGGACTGATCCTCTTGTTCCAAGGTTGAGGGACTGATCCTCTTGTTCCAAGGTTGAGGGACTAATCCTCTTGTTCAAAGGCTGAGGGACTGATCCTCTTGTTCCAAGGTTGAGGGGCTGATCCTCTTGTCCCAAGGTTGAGGGACTGATCCTCTTGTTCCAAGGTTGAGGGACTGATCCCTTCGAATGAAGGTATATGGACTGACCACCACCTACCAAAGCAGAGGGACTGACCCCCTCGTATGCAGGTATAGGGGACTGGCCCCCCGTACACAGGTATAGGGGACTGACCCCCTTCGTACACAGGTAGAGGGGACTGACCCCCTTCGTACACAGGTATAAAGGACTGACCCCCTTCGTACACAGGTAGATGGGACTGACCCCCTTCGTACACAGGTATAGGGGACTGACCCCTCCCTCTTGCACCAAGTCAGAGGGACTGAATCCCCCTTGCACCAAGGCAGAGGGACTGACCCCCCCTCACACCAAGGCAGAGGGACTGACCCCCTCACACCAAGGCAGAGGGACTGACCCCTCGCACAGAGAGGATCCCCCTCGCACCAAGGCAGAGGGACTGACCCCCCCTCAACATTCCATATATGTGTGTGTGTGTGTGTGTGTTAACAACAACTATAGGGTAGAACGTAGGATCACGAGAGGATGGCCACGGACCGCCTGGAGGCCGCCGCGCTCACATTATCCAGACTACTCCACTTCTTGTGGCCGTTGCGACCCAGTTGTGCCGCATACCTGTCCTCGCAGCTGCGTGACATGGCCTCCAGCTTCTGGGCCCGCTCCTTGCTCAGTGTCTCGGCCGGGAAAGTCAGCTCATTGGCCTCGGCCAGCGTACGCAAGCTGAAGTAATACTTGGCATACACCGATGATGGCACATTGATGTTGAACTGAATCATCACCAGGTACTGACGCTCCAGCTCATTCCTGTCAATGACATCAATGTAATTAATACACAATAATTATATACATATACAGTAGATCGTAGATTAACACACGATCATCTAACACAATGTCAATAATACATTATTGCAAAATTGTGGCATATTACTGATGAGCGGTGTGAAACTCATCTAAGATAGTGCAACTATGGAGAAAAATGGGTTACAGCTTGTACAAAATGGCTAGTAACTGCTAATTTCACTGTAACTGCACACTGGTATGCCATTAACCCTAGCTGGATTTACACAAAATGTTGAATGTGTCAGTGATTGATATTAAAGTGAGGGAAGTACGGTAAGTATAGGAAAAGTGAAGGAATAATCTTGTGGCACTGCTATGATAAACGAAGTTGTGACCCACTAACATGACTAAACATGTTGGGCCCCACTTATACAGTGGGTTAGGGCCCAGGCTACTGCTGTAAAGCTGGGCCCTACTATACCATGTTTATTTATAAGTTGTTTATAACCATGAGTCTCTCATGAAAACTAACAAATGTGATTAAATTAGTTGATTCCTGCACCAGTCAATACCTGCAGTGTTTTCTTATCTGCATCATGTGTTAAACTGTGAGCATGACGGAGATAATTTTATATACAATCTGAGTTGATACAAACTGTGTGTGTCCATGAGGGACTCTCCCAGTGTTTATATACCCTGTGTTGTACCTGTCCATGAGGGACTCTCCCAGTGTTTATATACCCTGTGTTGTACCTGTCCATGAGGGACTCTCCAGTGTTTATATACCCTGTGTTGCCCCTGCCCCTGAGGGACTCTCCCAGTTTTATATACCTGTTTGTCCTGTCCATGAGAGCCCCCCGTGTTTATATCCCTGTGTTGTCCCTGCCCAGGGGGGACTCCCCCAGTGTTTTTCCCCTTGTTGTAAATGCCATGGGGGATTTCCCCCAGTTTTTAATACCCTTTTGTACCGCCCTGAGGACCCCGTGTTTATATACCCTGTTTTGTACCTGCCTAGAGACCCCCCGTTTTTATATACCCTGTGTTGTACCTGTCCATGAAGACTCCCAGTGTTTAAAACCCTGTGTTGTCCCTGTCCATGGGGACTCTCCCAGTGTTTATATCCCTGGTTGTACCTGTCCTTTGGGGGACCTCCCAGGTTTATATACCCGTGTTGACCGTCATGAGAGCCCCCATGTTTATTACCCTGTGTTGTACCTGTCCATGAGGACCCCCAGTGTTTATTCCCCTGTGTTGTACCTATCCATGAGAGACTCCCAGGTTTTATATCCCCTGTGTTGTACCTGTCCATGGGGGACCTCCCGTGTTTAATACCCTGTGTTGTCCCCTGCCCATAGGGACTCCCCCGTGTTTTACCCCCTGTTTGTACCTGCCCAGGGGACTTCGGGTTTTTATATACCCTGTTTTGTCCCTGCCTTGAGGGACTTCCAGTGTTTATATCCCCTGTTTTGTACCTGTCCTGGGGGGACTCCCAGTGTTTATAACCCTGTTTGACCTGCCCATGAGAATCCAGTGTTTTTACCTGTGTTGTACCGTCCTGAGAGACCCGTGTTTATACCTGTGTTGTACCTGTCCATGAGAGACTCCCGTTTTTTTTTACCCTTTTTGATGTCCATGAGAACTCCAGTGTTTATATCCCCCTGTGTTGTACCGTCCTAGAACTCCCAGTGTTTATATACCCTGTGTTGTATGCCCATGAAAACCCCAGTGTTTATACCCCTGTGTTGAACCTGCCCATGAAGACTCCCGGGTTTTTAAAACCCTGTGTTACCTGTCCATGGGACTCCAGTGTTTATTACCTGTGTTGTACCTGCCATGAAGATCCCGTGTTTATATCCCCTGTGTTGTACCTTCCATGAGGACCCCCCAGTGTTTTATACCCTGTTTTTGTCCTTTCCGGGGGGCTCTCCCAGTTTTTTATATCCCCTTTTGTCTGCCCATGAGGGATCCCAGTTTTATAACCCCTGGTTTTTCCCTGTCCATAAAGGGGCTCCCGTTTTATATAACCTGTTTTGTACCTGTCCATGAGAGTCCTTGTTTATATCCCCTGTTTTTTTCCTGCCCATGAGGCTCCATGTTTAAACCCTGTGTTGTACCTGTCCATGAGGACCCCCGTTTTAATTTACCCTGTGTTGTCTGTCCATGAGGGTCCCAGTGTTTTATACCCTGTGTTTACCTTCCCATGAGGGATCCCGTGTTTATTCCCCCTTTTTGTACCTGTCCAGAGAGATCCAGTGTTTTATACCCTGTGTTTACTGTCCATGGGGATTTCCCGGTTTTATCCCTGTGTTTGTCCCTGTCCATAAAGGGACTCCCAGTGTTTATATACCTGTGTTGTACCTGTCCATGAGAACCCCCAGTGTTTATATACCCTGTGTTGTACTGTCCGGGGGACTCCCCAGTTTTTTATTCCCCGTTTTCCCTGTCCATGAGAGACCCCAGTGTTTTTATCCCTGTTTTTTTACCTGCCTGGGACCTCCCAGTGTTTTATCCCCGTGTTGTATGTCCATGGGGGAATCCCCAGTGTTTATTTTACCCTGTGTTTACCTGTCCATGAAGACTCCCAGTTTTATTACCCTGTGTTGTCCGCCTGGGGGACCCCCCATGTTTATTACCCTGGTTGTCCCTTCCAGGGAAAACTCCCGTGTTTTATCCCGGGTTTTGTACCTGTCCATGGGACTCCCCAGTGTTTATTCCCCTGTGTTGTACCTGTCCATGAAGATCCCGTGTTTATTCCCCTGTGTTGTACCTGCCATGGGGGAACTCCCGTTTTTATATACCCTGTGTTGACCGTCCATGAGAGACCCCCCGTGTTTATTTCCCTGGTTGTACCTGTCCAGAGGGACTTCCAGTGTTTAATACCCTGTTTGTACTGTCCAGGGAGACTCCCAGGTTTTATACCCTGTGTTGTACCTGTCCATGAGGACCCCCCGGTTTATATCCCTGTTTGTCCCGCCCAAAGAGGGATTTCCCCAGTGTTTTAACCCTGTGTTGTACCTGTCCAGGGACTCCCAGTGTTTATATCCCCCTTTTTTGTCCTGTCCAGGGGACCCCCCAGGTTTTTTTTTCCCCGTGTTGTACCTGTCCATGGGGGGACCCCCCAGTGTTTATATCCCCTGTGTTGACCTGCCCATGGAGACCCCATTTTTAAAACCGTTTGACCGTCCTGGGGACCCCCATTTTATATCCCTGTGTTTACCTGTCCATGAGAGACCCCAGTGTTTATATCCCGTTTGTCCCTGTCCGGGGGGACTCCCAGTTTTTTAAAACCCTGTGTTTGTACCTGTCCAGAGGACTCCCATGTTTAATCCCCGTTTGTACCTGTCCATGGGGTTCCCATGTTTATATCCCTGTGTGTACCTGTCCATGGGCCTCCCTGTTTATTACCCTGTTTGTACCGCCCATGGGGGACTCCCGGGTTTTTATATACCCGTTTGTACCTGTCCATGGGGGGACTCCCGTGTTTTATACCTGTTTTTTCCCGGGCCAGGAGGGACTCTCCCAGGTTTTTCCCCGTGTTGTACCTGTCCATGAGGGACTCTCCCAGTTTTTTATATACCTTGTTGTCCCTGTCCATGGGGGACTCTCCCAGTTTTTAAATTACCCGTTTTGCCCTGTCCATGAGGGACTCTCCCGGGGTTTATATCCCTGTTTGTACCTGTCCATGAGGGACTCCCATTTTTTATACCCTGTTTGTACCTGTCCTTGAGGGACTCCCGTGTTTATATCCCTGTGTTGTCCCTGTCCATGGGACCCCCAGTTTTTTATACCTGTGTTGTACCTGTCCGGGGGGACTCCCAGTTTTTTTATTTACCCCGTGTTGTACTTGTCCATGAGGGATCCCGTGTTTTTATATATTTTTGAAAATTTATAATTATTTTTTTATTTGTTTATTTTTATAAAATATTTTATAAAATTTTTTAAAGTATAATGGGTTTTATTACCCTGTTTGTACCTGTCCTGAGGGACTCTCCCATTTTTATTTCCCCGTGTTGTCCCGTTGAGGGATCTCCCAGTGTTTTATACCCTGTGTTGTACCTGTATGAGGGTTTCCCAGTGTTTATATCCCCTGTGTTTTTCCCTGCCATAGGGAATTTTCCCGGTTTATAACCCGTGTTGTACTTCCGGGGGGACTCTCCTGTTTATAAAACCCTGTTTTGTCCTGCATGGGGCTTCCCCCTTGTTTATTACCCTGTTTTGCCCTGCCCATGGGGGATCTCCCAGTGTTTATTACCGTGTTGCCTGTATGGGGGACTCCCCCATGTTTAATCCCCTGTTTGTCCCTGCCCTGGGGGATCCCCCGGGTTTTTTTAAAACCCTGTGTTGTCCGTCCATGGGGGCTCTCCCAGTGTTTTTTTTCCCCTGTGTTGCCCTGTCCATAGGACTCCTTTTTATATACCGGGTTTTTGGGACCTGTCCATGAGAGATCCGTTTTATATACCCTGTTTGTACCTGTCCATGAGAGATCCCAGTGTTTATATACCCTTGTTGCCCTCCCCATGAGGGACCCCCAGTGTTTTTACCCTGTGTTGTCCCTGCCCAGAGAGATCCCAGTGTTTTATACCCTGTGTTGTACCTGTCCGGAGACTCCATGTTTTTATACCCTGTGTTGTCCTGTATGAAGACCCCCAGTGTTTAAAACCCCTGTGTTGTACCTTCCAGAGGACTCCCAGTGTTTTTTCCCCTTTGTTGTACCTATCCTGAGGAATCCAGTTTTTAATCCCCTGTGTTGTACCGTCCATGAGGACTCCCGGGTTTTTTAAAAACCCTGTGTTGACCCATCCATGAGAGAGACTGTTTATGTACTTTTTGGGTGTCCCTGTCCTGAGAGCTCCGTGTTTTAACCCTGTGTTTCCCTGTCCATGGGGACTCCATGTTTATATCCCTTTTTGTCCCTGTCCAGAGAGACCCCCAGTTTTTATTACCCGGTGTTGTACCTGCCCAGAGAGACTCCCGGTTTATATACCCTGTGCGTACCTGCCGAGGGACTCCCAGTTTTTTTATATACCCTGTGTTCCCTGTCCATG